TCAACAGTAAAGTTTATAGAATGGGCTAAGCTATTTAATTTTCCAAGAAAATGGTGTATATCTACATTTTTGGGCATAAGACACAAAATATCATCAACATATCTGAACCATTTATTTATATCTATCCACTATTATTCCTCGCATCAAGATAGAGTCAAACTGTCTGTTTTCTCATCAATGTTTTTGAGAGCTTTACGAATTTGTAGTCCTGAGTTCATAGATGAGGAAATATCCAAAATTTATGAAATAGGTAATGATTTAAAATACCCAAGAAATGTAATTGATAAATCTTTTAAAGTTGCAAAAAGTAACTGTGTCAATTCCCATTTTGAATTTGATTCCCCATAATTTAATCCCACCCCTCTCCCGAACACCCTAGCATTTACTTCTTTTACAACCCCATCTATAAATATATTAAACAACCATGGTGACATTACACATCCCTGTCTAAGACCTACTTTTACCGGGAAGTAGTCTCCCTCTCTTCTACACACCCTAACCTGAGCCTCACTATCCTCATAAAACCTCTTTACAGCATTTAGTAACTTACCACCTATTCCATATATTTGCAACATCTGCCACATTGCTCCCCTATCCACTCTATCATATGCCTTTTCTAAATCCATAAATGCAATAAAAACTTCCCTATTTATATTAATGACACACTGGAACTTGTGTCTACATACTGGTGAATACAGTAGGTTGGAATTTACATGCATGAAAAACTGCAAAGATTGCAGAAACTCTTAATTTAGTATAGCGCTCGTAACTAGGATACCCGTTTTAAATCTTGATGGATTTTTCTCTCTTCTATCAGTTATACACTAATTTAAATGAACGTTTTATCTCCATTGACAATTACCTGATTTCAATGAACCAGCCTTAAATTTGAGAAAATATTTGTCTATATGATTATTTTTTTTTCGTATTTTCAATGAAGTAAAACAAATTTGTGATCACTGTTGTCACTTAATTCTTGACTTTTTTTTTCCCCCTAACGTGGGACTTACGGCATTCTTAACGCAAGCTTTGCTACACCATTCTTGAAGTAAACTCTGCTAAACTCCTTCAGAAAACGAAGGAAATTTTTGACAGTAAAAAGAGACAAATGTAGTATAATGCGATCCTTTACTGATGACGTTTCCCCCACAGTGGACTCTATCCAGTTAGATTCAATGACTTGTGACTTGATAAAGCCACTGTGTTGGGAGAATTGTCACCAAAAAGGATCGCATTATACTTCATTTTTTGCCTCTTTAACCATTGTTGCGTTGTCTTATACCATTTTTTCCACAGATTTTTTTTATTGTTCTTAACAGTGAATGTAGACATTAAATCCAAATTATTGCTGAAATTCTTTACTGTTCAGAAGATATTTGTAAGAAGATAAGAATATAAGAATGAAGGAACATTGCAGCAGGCCTGTTGACCCATACTAGGCAAGTCCTTCACAATCCATCCCATTTCGAAAATATTTTGAAGATTACCAGAAAAAATGTAATACTATCAGGGTTTTCTGTAAATAAGCGACTTGATTTCTAGTGTAAAATTTTATTTTAACCTCCATATTTTGTACAGAAATATACCTGGTTGGATAAACCTTTTTAGGTCGGTGTGATCCAGTGGATAACACACTGGCCTATGAATTTTAAACTTTGCATGCCATAGATTCGAGCCACAACTTTTGTGTGATATGGTAGTTTAATTTATCTGGTGTCTTTATCTGTGATTATATTAGGCTATTAAATTTTGAAGACTAATTTTACTAATTTAGTTACTAATATATTGACGGCTGAAGGAGCGAATTTATTTAAGAAAACTAACACAGTTTTACTCTTTGGGTGATACAAATAATAAGAATAATATACTTGAATAGACATAATAAGGCTTCCTATATTAGGCTGTACATTACCAAAGGAATACCAAAGGAATGAAAAAGCTTGAATTTGTATCTTCTGTTTGTGAGGTAACAGTAACAGAAACGCGTGTAATACCATAGCTGTTCTTATAGGGGTAGAGCGCAACCTCATGACCCCACCTCTCTGCTTTGAAACAGCTGGTGTTTCTTGGGAAATGTAAAGATCTAGCTTCTGCTGTTTCTTTTCCTAGTGCTTTTCACATTGTTACTACCTCATATACTGATAATGATTACTAGCGTCTGTTTGGCTGCTGTAAATGTTCAGCTTCCATAGATGCTCCCTTGTTTTGGACCTCTTTGTAACACATTGTCTACCCCGCCGAACTCTTCTTACCTCTAGCGATGTGAGCTTTAACTCTGGTATCTTAACATCATACAGGGCACATGTAAAAGTTTTCAAGTCATAATGTATTCTCAGTTCCGGGATCAGTCTAGTGGTAAACATTTTAAGTTCCCGAAGATTTTTCATGTGAAGGTGAGAGTTCCAAATTGGTACTGCATACACGAGGCTTGAGAGGTCTGACATATATGTTCTTCACAATTCGTGCATTTACAAGTTTCTTTTTCTCCTGGTGACTGTACGAATAGCATTGTGTTGTCGCTTAACATGACTCACGAAATCGTAATGACATGATTGCAAACAAACCATACCACGGGCGGGGATGGAACCCGCGATCAGTCTCAAAACTCCAGACCGTCGCGTTAGCCACTGGACCAGCTAGCCACAATAAGATTCGTCCAACTAGGTATATTTCTGCACCATAGGAAGGTTAGCATAGGTACCACTGTGACCACAAATGCAAGTTTTTACACACGAATCTCCAGCTAGCGTGGCCGTGACGAACTCTAGCTCAAGTCCCCTCAAAGCCGTTAACATGACTCACGAAATCGTAATGACACGATTGCAAACAAACCATACCACGGGCGGAGATAGAACCCGCGATCAGAGAGTCTCAAAACTCCAGACCGTCGCGTCAGCCACTGTCTGCTAGCTGGAGATTCGTCTGTAAAAACTTGCATTTGTGGTCACAGAGGTGCCTATGCTAACCCCTATGGTGTAGAAATATGCCTAGTTGGACGAATCTTATTGTGGCTAGCTGGTCCAGTGGCTAACGCGACGGTCTGGAGTTTTGAGACTCTCTGATCGCGGGTTCTATCCCCGCCCGTGGTATGGTTTGTTTGCAATCGTGTCATTACGATTTCGTGAGTCATGTTAACGGCTTTGAAGGGACTTGAGCGAGAGTTCGTCACGGCCACGCTAGCTGGAGATTCGTCTGTAAAAACTTGCATTTGTGGTCACAGTGGTGCCTATGCTAACCTTCCTATGGTGTAGAAATATACCTAGTTGGACGAATGTTATTGTGGCTAGCTGGTCCAGTGGCTAACGCGACGGTCTGGAGTTTTGAGACTCTCTGATCGCGGGTTCTATCCCCACCCGTGGTATGGTTTATTGTCGCTTGTGTTGGTTTGATGACGTATGTTGTCTACGGTACTCTGAAGGAATTATGTTTAAAGTTGGTGAAATTATTTCTCTTACACTTGTCATCCGTGTGTTCACGAATGATGTTACACAGTTTGTGTTCCTGGCAAGATAGGTTAGGCTACGTCCAGTGATAAGAGTTGCTTCTCAAGGTGAACTAACCCGTGAAGGCTGGAAATTCATTTCAACGTATATGGATCGTTTGATGCGATAGTCTGGGGCACCATGCATCTAATATTTCTGCTTAACTGAGATGCCAGCAGAATGGGTTTCAGCCCACACATCAGCTGTGAGATATGAAAATGTTTGTTTGTAGTGTTTGAGCTGTCGTGGTATATTTATTCTCATATCCTGTCTGGGGTTGAGGGGAGAATAAATGTACTTTACCATCACGAAAGCTTCTGGGGCTATGGGATGAGACAGATGGGTAGTAGTCACAGTTGTGTGGGTAGTAAAATCATCGTGTTGTAAGCTGTGATGCTGAGTGGTTTAAGCGTTGCGCCATTTCCCACCGAGGTAGGGTAATCAGAAATAAGAGAGGAAAAAAAAACATTCATCGTCATTCATACAATTTCTTTCTTGACAGAAACGCTGACATCACATTTCTGATTATTCCTCCGAACTATAATATCCTCACCCCTCTTTTAGAGTGCAGGCACTCGACTTTCCATCTCCAGGACTTAAGTCCAGCCAACCGGTTTCCGTGAATGTTACCTTGCTTGCACTCCAAAAGCACATTAAGTAGCAAAAACAACGTGCCTCCAACCACTCCGACGTAACGCGCTTACATAAAACTGTTGGATGTTCAAGCCCATAGCACTCAAAGCTTCTTTTACCTCCTCCCTCCAACCTTTTCTGGGTCGAACCGTACCCCTCCTTCCCTCCGCCCCAGATTTATATACCCTCCTGATCATTCTATTTTGATTCATCTTCTTTAAGTGTTCAAACAACCTCATCCCCCTCGTCAGTCTTCTTTTCGAAAGAAGGATCACTAATGAGTTGGTGTGGGCCTATGTTTTGTGATGAAAGCCTTTTGTTTCATACGGGGCTCATGTGGAAGAGCCTTTGACTCCCACCTGGATTCGATTCCTACACAACACCTGTTGCCCCGACTACTGTGAGTCGAATCCTGGGAAAACCATCGGAGAACCCCCATCGGAAACAGGCAAAATTTGCTTTATCAGGATATCCTGGGTTAGTAACCCTTCGGGTTAATAATCCGAATAAAATCTTACGCTGAGACGTAAGGGCAAGTCTACATTACTCACAATACCTCCTGCCCTTGTTCATCTAGCAGTAAACATACCTAGGAATTATAGGTTATTATTGCGAGTCGCATCCTGGAAAAGATAAATTAAGATACTAACGAAAATAAACCGCGCTGCTTGGCTCTTCTGGGTCATCCTGGGTTATTAACCCTCCCATTTAAAAGTCCGAAGAAAATCTTCTTTAATAGTGAAAATATTCTTGATAAGAGAGATAGACATTCCTAAGATGAACGAGTCCATCATTTTCTGATCTACCACAGCTCCAGTCACGGAAGTTTCCATAAATAAGAAGAGCAATAGGAAGCTCATAAAGTACATGCGACAGGTGCATGTT